GCAGGCTGGGCCCCGGCAAACGGCGGGGCGGCCGCGGACCGTCGGCCTGGCCAGCGGCAAGCCGCGGACCGTCGACCCGACCCCAAGAGGGACGGACAGGGGACCGACCACGACGACGACGACGACGACGACGACGACGACGACGACGACGACGACGTCGAAGACGATGGCGACGACGACGACGGCGACGACGAGCGAAAGCGAGAGCGAGAGAGAACGGCAGCAGGGCCACGAAGGGCACGAAGTAGGCCACGAAGGGCGACAGCGGGTACGCGAAGGGAATGCGTATGGGGCCACGAAGAGCGCGAACGAGCGGGGGCCACGAAGTGCAGATAATGCGGGGCCACAAAAGGCAACTATGGGGCCACTGAGGGTAACAACTGGGCCACGTAGGACAGTGAGGGGGACACAAATCGCGACAGCGGGGCCACGAAGGGCATGCACATGGAGCCACAACGGTCGCGAATCCTGGGTGCCTGGGTGTCGGGAGCGCGGCGCTTGGGCAAATTGCAGGAAATTCCAACGCAAGGCCATTCTTCAGTAAGTTGCAAGCAAGTCCCCAGCGAGAGCGCGACTCCAGAGCGCCGGGAAAGCGATTCCTGAATAAATTGTAAGGAAATCCAAAGCGAGAGCGCGATTCCTAAATAAATTGCGAGGAAATCTCAGCGGGAGCGAGGGTCCTGGCTAAATTGTAAGGGAGTCTCAGGCGGGAACCGTTGTTGTTGTAACCCGGGGGTTAGGGGCCCAGTTTGAGCAGAAAGACTGTCCCTGACAAGAAACAGGGTGCGAGCGTCGAGGGGCACACTTTGATTAGAAAAAACAATATGCACCGGTGGGGGGATCAACAATAATTATTCGTCAGAAATGATGACTCAACAACAACAACAACAACAACAACAACAACAACAACAACAACAACAACAACAACAACAACAACAACAACAACAACAACAACTACAACTACAATGATTTTAAGACCGCTCGCCCTTTATACGCTCGAGTGTCCCATAACGCGAATTTCCCAAACCCTCGATACCCGCCCTCTTCGTCTTCGATCGAACCCTTTTTGGGGGGTATACAACAACAATAATAATATCAAGACCGTTCGCCCTTATATGCTCGAGTGCCCAATAACGCGTATTTCCCAAACCCTCGATACCCGCCCTCTTCGTTTTCGATCGAACCTTTTTGGGGGGGTATACCTCTCTTCCCTGCAGGCCGGGCCCCGGCAAGCGGCGGGGCGGCCGCGGACCGTCGGCCTGGCCAGCGGCAGCGCTGATCGGCGGGACGGCCGCGGACCGTCGACCCGACCCCAAGAGGGACGGACAGGGGACCGACCACGACGACAACGACGACGACGACGACGACGACGTCGAATACGACGGCGACGACGACGACGACGGCGACGACGAGCGAAAGCGAGAGCGAGAGAAAACGACAGCAGGGCCACGAAGGGCACGAAGTAGGCCACGAAGGGCGACAGCGGGGACACGAAGGGAATGCGTATGGGGCCACGAAAAGCGCGAACGAGCGGGGGCCACGAAGTGCAGATAATGCGGGGCCACAGACGGCAACCATGGGGCCACTGAGGGTAGCAACTGGGCCACGAAGGGCACGCACATCGGGCCACAACGGGCACGACTCCTGGGCGCCTGGGTGTCAGGAGCGCGGCGCGTGGGCAAATTGCAAGAAATCCCAACGCAAGACCATTCTTCAGTAATTTGCAAGCAAGTCTCCGGCGAGAGCGCGACGCCAGAGCGCCGGGAGAGCGATTCCTGAATAAATTGTAAGGAAATCCAAAGCGAGAGCGCGATTCCTAAATAAATTGCGAGGAAGTCTCGGGCGGGAGCGGGGGTCCTGGCTAAATTGTAAGGGAGTCTCAGGCGGGAACTGTTGTTGTTGTAACCCGGTGGCCAGGGGCCCAGTTTGAGCAGGAAGCCTTTCCCTGTCAAGAAACAGGGTGCGAGCGTCGAGGGGCACACTTTGATTTAGAAAAAACAATATGCACCGGTGGGGGGATCAACAATAATTATTCTTCAGAAATGATGACTCAACAACAACAACAACAACAACAACAACAACAACAACAACAACAACAACAACAACAACAACAACAACAACAACAACAACAACGACGACGACAACGACGACAACGACGACGACAACGACAACGACAACGGCAACGACGACGACGACGACGACGACAACAACAACAACAACTGACCACCGAACCGCTTCGCTTGATATTTCCTCACAATTTATTCAGATGCGGACCCTCGACACTCAGCAATCGCGCTCCCGCTACATAATGCCTGGCGGTTCAAGCAGAACTCACGCTTCAACGACCCGCCCGCTCGACCCGCCCGTCGGGGCCTGCCCGCCCGACCAGCCCGTTAATGACTGCAGTCGCCGCTCGCTGCCCTTTTCCCGCTTTCGATGCCCCTCGCTGCCGGTACTGGTTCCGCGGTCGCCTTCGCTCGCTGCCCTTCGTGGCCCCGTTGCTGCCCTCAGTGGCTCCGTCGCTGCCCTTCGTGGCCCCGCTATGCCCTTCATGGCCCCCGCTCGTACGCGCCCGTCGTGGCCCCATACGCATGCTCTTCGTAGCCCCGCTGTCGCCCTCCGTGGCCCCCATCGCTGCCCTTCGTGGCCTCTTTGCTGCCCTCAGTGGCCCCGCTGTCGCCCCCTGTGGGCCCGTATACGAATGCCCTTCGTGGCCCCCGCTTGCACGCGCCCGTCGTGGCCCCATGTGCATGCCCTTCGTGGCCCCGCTGTCGCCCTTTGCGGCCTCCTCGCTGCCCTTCGTGGCCCCGGTGCTGCCCTCAGCGGCCCCGTCGCTGCCCGTTGTGGCCTCGGATGTTATGCCCTTCGTGGCCCACGCTGGCTTTTCTCACGATATACTTAGGACTCGCGCTATCGCTTGAAACTTCCTCGCGATTCATGCAGGACCCACGCTTCAGCAACCCGCCTGCTCAACCTCGTCGCCTGGGCCCGCCTTCCCGACCTGCCCGCTACGGGTCTCCCCACCCGATCTGCCCGTCTGGTTATACCACTTGTTTTCTGTTCCTTGCCCCCCTGCTGCTAATTTCTCTCATGCTCCATTATTATCCCTCCCCCTTATACCCGTCCACTCTTTCCTTGTTTAGGGGCTGCACTAAATAAACGTGGCAGGTAAGGAAGATATACCCCCAAGGGGATACGATCGAAGTCGACGAGGGCGGGTACCGAGGGTCTGGGATACACGTATTGGTTAGCACGTGAGCAGATAGGAGCGAACACTCTTAAAATGATTGTTGTTGTGGGTGTTGTTGTTGTTGGTGTTGCTGTTGTTATTGTTGCTGTTTGTCGTCGTCCCACCCGCGACCCACCCGCGACCCACCCCGAGACCCACCCCGCGACCCACCCCGCGACCCACCCCGCGATCCACCCACGACACAACCCGCGACCCACCCGCGACCCACCCCGCGACCCATCCGCGACCCACCCGCGACCCACCCGCGACCCACCCCGCGACCCATCCACGACCAACCCCGCGACCCATCCGCGACCCATCCGCGACCCACCCGGGACCCACCCCGCGACCCACCCGCGACCCACCCCGCGACCCACCCTCAAGGGAGGAAAAACCACCCGGACCCGACAATTGACATATACTAAACGGCCCTGGGCGTTTACTAAACAGCCCTGCCCTGTTCGATTCATTCCTTGTGTGCGTTTACTAAACGGCTTCGCTTGTCGGGGTGACTATTATGGGGTGGATTTTCTGCCCCTACACCCGCGACCCACCCGTGACCCAACAACGACCCACCCGCGACCCACCCGCGACCCACCCGCGACCCATTTCCGCGACCCACCCGCGGCCTACCCACATTGGTTTAACGGAAAACTGCGGCGGGCTCGTTGACTAATTTGTGAAACCTTTGGCGCCTGCGGAAGGCTTTTCCAGAGTCCCGCAAACTGCCGACGCCCCCACCGCCCTCTCACGCTTATCCGCACCTGCGGGGTGCTACGTACGCATATTGATGACATTCGGCACCACCTTTAGCAACATAATCCTCACCACCAGCACAATCAACATCGATTAGACATAATCACGCACCTCTCCCTTCACTGCTCCTCATCCCCCAACTCCTCCTAATACCCCTCCACCTGCTCCTCTTGCTCCCACCCGTCTTACTGCTGAAATGCGAGACCCACGGACGCAAGCGTGAAAACAATATCACGTCGGTCGGAAAAAATATGTAGAAAGCATGAGAAATAAGGCGCATTCCAAATAAAATGGGCTTCGGCACTCCTGTTAGCGATACGAATAATAAAACGTAATTCATGCATCAGTCCAAAAGAAAGGATATCATGGTAGATGACGATCTAGCGCCACACCAACAAAAACACGAACCCACAGCAACCAGCGACTTCAGCGACATCAGGCCAACAGCTGTAGGATCTGGTGCTAACGATGGGCCGAAGAGGCAAGAATGCAAAGATAGCCTTGGTGAAGCACTGCGTCTTCACTACGTTTTACCGTGCCCTCGCCGTGGGAGGTGGGGGCAAGGAGCAGGGTCAATGCAACTCCCCCGGCGCCGAATCCGCCAAAAAAGAAGCCAAGAAGAGGAAGGCCAGCGCATCATGGCCCGAGGCATGTGCGCGAACGCGGGGAGGGGGGGCAAGAAACGCATTGCAAGAAGAGGGGGCGCCATGAAATCTGGGAAATATCATGGCCCCGGCCATGATGTCCACACGCACGCACAGAATCCTCACACCCACCTGCCCCTTGGACGCTCCCAAGGCAACGGGAGCTGTGACCCCTTGTTTACGACATGGCCCCCCGAACTCTCGGGCCTTGTCTCCGCGACCCGGTTTCCGCCGAGGTCTGCTCTTTGCGGGGTCCTGGGGCCAACACGTGGCCGCGGAGCCGACAAAACGACGCTCTCTGAGCTCAACCCCCATCCCCGCAAAGAGGTCTGCGGGCAGAAGCGGTGCAACTCGTTTACGAGCGCCGCTGCCTTTCGCGTCTGCCACGGGCTCGGCCAGCACAACCTGATTAGTATCTACAGCCGGACCAGCATGGAGGGTCATGGTCGTCTGGCCCCTCAGCTGGAAGTCCCTCGCACCCCTCTGGCAGATGGACTTCAGCTCTGGCACCGAATCCTCGCTGACCCATTCCTCTTCATCTTCCTCGTCCTCCTCCTCCTCCTCCTTCTCCTTCTCCTCGACCTCATCCCCATCCTCATCCTCATTATCCTCCTCCTCCTCCTCCTCCTCCCTCCTCCTCCCCCTCCTCCCTTCTGCATTACCCTCCACCACCCTGACTCCTTGTCCTCAAACGATCGCGACAACGGCGACCACGACGAGAACGATCCGCGTCGGCGACAGAGGCGACGGCGACGACAGCGGCGCAGCTGTCGTCGGGGGAGAAGTGAAAAGAGCGAACGATAAAGGCGAAGCCAATGCGCCCGCTTGAAAGCCCGGCCCTCCCACAGAGCGACGGCACGACCTCCAGGACGAACTCCACAATGAGCGGCGCGACGCCCCGCAGCGCGCCGCCGCTCCCCTGGGAGCTCTCTCCCGAGGGGTGGGGGAGGGGCGGCACTGACCCCGCGCACGGGCGTCCTCACGCTGGACTGGCCCGCCCGCCGCCCGGAGCGACTCCACGAGAAGACATGGCAGGCCGACGAGCACCAGGCCGATGAGCGACGAAAAACCCGCAGCCGCCATGGCGGCCTCGGGCGCCAGAACTTCGCCCGCTCGACTGGCCCCAGCGGCGGCCATGCCTGGGACAGCGGGAGTGGGGCAGCGCGGGCTGGCCGCGCGACGCGCGGCGTTCCAGGCCGCGGGAGCCCAAAATGGGCGCTCGCAGCGGCCTGTGGCTCGTCCGTGCCGTGCGTGGCCTCCTGCGAAGGCGAGGCCGCAGCCGCCTTCAGCGCCTGCAGCTCCGCCTCGATGTCCGCGTCGGTATCCGCCCGCTCGAGCGTCAGAAGGGCCGCCGACTGCACCGCCACCAAGTCGCCCAGCGTCTCCTCGGAGCCCGCTGACATGAGTCCTCCACGATCTCGCTCTCGATCGCCCTCTACAGCTGCCTGCGGCGGCGCATCCGCCGCGGCCGCGGGCTCCGCATTGCCGCAGTCAGGTCGGCGGAGGAGGAGGAGGTGGAGGACTCCATCCTATTTCAGAATGGAACAACGATGACGGAGGCTCTGGAGATGACGAAGGATCTCGAGGGCAGCCAGGGCACCACACACAAAAACAATGGCACCAGGCTCTTCGTCAGAGCCCTCAAGACTCATGCGAAAGAGGCCTGGACGAAACTTCGGAACAGGGCCCCGCCGATGCCGACGGTTTGGGAGATCTCTCCCCTGCCTACGAAAATCGACGGGAATGGCCTCTGTGAGGCACTCAAGCGTCAAATTGGAATTGGAAACTGAATCGATCAAGTTGAAAAAGATTGGCAAAGGAGCAAAGGCAAAACCGACGTTGTTGGTCAGAGCTCAGGAAGCCCCAAGCGTTATGGACATTTGTGTTGGCGGAGTCCAGGCGACCATCAACAAGCAGTTGCCCCCACAGCCGAAGGCCACGCCCTCGGAGCCCACATGGGCGGAGATGCTCTGCAAGTACACGCCGACGGCACAGACGACACCAGCACCACGAGCACAAACGAGAGCACCGATTGCAGCCAACCGTTCACCTCCACCGGCAAAGGCTCCACCACCGCAGAGACCTGGAGGTAAAGCCATACCGGTGGACCCACCAACTGCGACTGCAGGGAGTTCTCGCAGCCCAGACTTCAAGCAATTCCTCAGCGACATCGTCACACAGGCGATCAGCGCACACACAGCGGCTTTGACGACTAAGATGGAAGCGCAGAGTGATGGTTTGGCTCTATGCTTGTCCACCCTCAGTCAGTATGCTGCCACCAATTCGCAAGAAGACGTCCCACTTGGTCAGGCCGCCAAGCGCCTGAAAAAAGTGAGGCTGATGATATGACAGTGGACTCGGAGCTACGACGATGGCCACCCTCGCCACCATCCTGAGTGTGAACGTCACTGCGTTGACCAGCTTCAGCGACAGGCTGGACAACACCAGAACTGGCGTCATCTGCTTGGTCTTGATGCCAAAGGGCAGCTCTCAGCAGCCCAGGCAGCAAGGCAGTGTTGTTTTGATATATCATGTGGCGCCCCTGTTTTACCGCAGAGGGGCAGAAGTGGGAAATTGAACAGGCATACGCAGGGAGGTGTCGCCACCCTAGTAAGATCTGGACGTGCTATCGGATTGAAAGATGGACGTGCGTGGGGAGCTGCCCATGAGCTACATGCTACCTCTAGGTGGATGAGAACTGCTTTCCTCTTCGGCGACAAACTCCTCCATGTTATCAACCTCTACAATGACGCTGGCGGCTCCCAGTTGTGCCGCACACTAAATGCACGCATCCTGGACCTTGTGTTCGAGGACTGTGCTGCTTTGGGCGAACAGGCGATTGTCACCTGCATGGACGCCAACACCATGATTGATAACATATCAAGCGCAATGTTTCACACTGGCAGGTGGCATGATGTAGGCGCTATCTACGGCTCGCAGCCGACATTCTGTCATGATCCCAACTGGTACCGCGTCTCTCCTGGACATTCGGTAACGACGCTCGACATGGTCATCGTCAATGCCATTGCCGAAGATATGGTTGCATCATTCGAGCTGAGGAGAGACCAGGGAGAGAAGCAACACCTGGTGCTACCTACAACTCGAGCTCATGATGAATATCCTTCAGGAGACTCGTGTCAACAACTCCGAGCCTTGCTACCTTACACTACCTCTGCTGCGCCCAAGATCACTGAGGACGAGGCGAACGAGATGGAAAGGATAGCAATCGATACCCATGGAGATGCGCTTCAGTATGCTATTGAACAGTATGATGCTAACCTAGCATGGGAGGCTGCAGGCAAAATTGAAGAAGCTTATCTGGACAAAAGACTGAAGATTGCTGGCCCCTCTGACCACGGGCGTCACGGGCGGGGCGCACCACCAAAGTTGATCGAGGAGGAAGTCGCAGCAGACGTGCGCAAGGGCGCACCAGAGTGTCCTGCGACGATTGACGCCCGCAAACTGGAGAACATGGACGCCTTGCTGAATTGCGATGTATTACTGGAAGAAACTTGAATGGCTTGTCCGATCATCTGAAGAGACAGCGGCTCTGGGACAAAGTACGCCCTCCAGTCAGCCGAGTACTACAGATACCTCTTGGGAATATTGTCCCATATTTACCCGAGGATGCGGACCTACGACGATGGAAAGAGCAAGCCAAACTCAAGCAGGACGAGCTCTCGACCAACAGGACGAAAGCACGTATTGACGTGTGGAAGAAGCGGTTGCGCAGAAGCCTGAAGCATGAGGGTGGTCGCGAGCCCTTCTCATGGATTAAACAAAGACCATATGCCACACTGCACGCAGTCAAAGCAGCAGACGGGAGGATCTTGACCTCCAGAGCTGAAGTCCTCGACAGAGTGCCCAGCTCAGGAAAATGAATGTGCATCAAGCCCCAGCGTTAGACGGGTGGAGGGTTTCAGAACTGCGACTTCTATATGACAGCCTCTTGGACATGCACGCCATGCTGCTCAATGGAGCCAAAGACGAATGGGTTGGATGGCCGAAGGTCCTTACCATGGGCATCACATCTTGCCTACCCAAGTGGGAAGTCGAGGAAGATCATGCAGCCGACGTCGACCCTGACCAGCCCTGGGTCGCGGAGGCTGACCAGACCAGGCCCATCACGAACGTATCCCCCTGTACACTGCCAATACTGCGGCCCGTTTTGTCCCCACATGTTTCGTGGGGTTCTGGCTTTCTTCTCTGCCGCGTCGCACCCGCGTCTCCTCACCTCTCTCCTCCCCTCCCCTCCTCCACTTCCTTCCTTCCTTCACCTACGCGCAACACATGCACGGCACGTACATGAGACACGCGTGAGACACGCCTGGCGTGTTCACTGCATCATACACCCAAGACGTATGCACAACATACTGGGCACCTACATGAGGCACACGTTCCGATACCGCCGCACACGCATCATACACATACACATCACACGCCATATACAAGACGTGCGTGTAGGATTCGCAGTGCATGGCAGGAGGCTTTAAGCGGGCCATGGCGCAGGGCACGGCGGGCGTTGCACTTTCTCGACGCCAGAGGGGGTGCGCAGAGGGTGGCTTCTATGCGCGCCTCTCGTCCAGGGCTTAGCATGCGTGGCACTTTCTCGACACCAGAAGGGGTGTGCAAGGGGGGTCTCTCACCGCTGCCGCTATGCGCGCCTCTCGTCCGGGGCACCGCAAGCGTGGCATTTTCTCGACACCATAGGGGGTGCGCAGGGGGTGGTCTCTCACCGCGGCCGCTATGCGCGCCTCGGGCGGTTCCGTTGGGCGAGCAGGAGCGCTGGAGGGGCGCTGACCGCAGGAGGAGGTCGGTCCCTTCGTGCCACGTGTTGGCGTCGTCGTCGCGCTCGGCAAGTACGACGACGACGAGTGCGACGACGACGACGACGACGAGTGCGACGACGACGACGACGTCGAAGACGAGTACGACGACGACGACGACGACGAATACGACGAGAAATGCGACGACGAGTACGACAGTCACTAGCTGCTCCTGCAGTACGACGAGAAATGCGACGACGAGAAATGCGACGACGAGTACGACGACAAGGTACGACGACGAGTACGACGACGAATACGACGTCGAGTACGACCGGCGACGATGACGAATCGACGACAGCGTTTGTTGCGCTGGCTGACTAGCTCGTCTGGCTCGTGGTGGTGACGGTGGTAGTGCTAGCGTAGTGCACACAGGACACAAAATATAAAGCATTTGGGGCTCCTCGGTAGCGTTTTTTACAGACGGCGGAACGGCGTGAAGGATTGCCTCCTGCCGGAGCGGCTGGAGCACGTGTAGGCTGCCCATACCAGACGGCGGCACACGAGCTGGCACTGGCTATAGGAGAAGCACGTTTGACGGACAAGCCCCTGTCAGGCACATCGCGCGACTAAAAGAAGTTCTCCGACCTGGTGGAGTTCGACATAGGAGACAACCTCATGCTGGCCCTGGGCGCGCCTCCGAAGACCGTCAACGCATCGAAGCTCTTCTACCGCAGCTCGAAATGCAGGTGG